TTTTTATCAAGCATATATTGTGTCAAAAGTCTAAAGAAAATTTACTAATTCGTCCCAATTTTTCTCCTTAGTTCCATGAAACGAAACTGCTTTCGCATTACAAGTATCATTTTTAATTTAAATTGACAGATACTTGAAAGTAAAATTAAAATTTAACTGCTTTTTGAAACGAAACTGCTTTCGCATTACAAACTTTTTGACAAAATTTACGATTGTGATATTTATTTTGGTCATGAGAATATCACCTTTACTAATAAAAAAAAAAAGAATTTGACAGATATAATTTGTGTTTGGTTTCGAACCAAAAATAAAACTATAAAAACTAAACTAGTTGTGTAATGATCAAGTGAGTTGTCCCTCAAAGAGTCAAGAATGTGGGACTGTGTAGTGAGGTCCCCTATGTTTAAGCTATTATATATTCATATTGAAACATGAAAATGAATTGGCACAAAAAGCCATATTTCTCTTTTGGACTAAACTCAATGACATGAATATATAGCCATCAGCAGTACTGCATATACTACTACTGCATGATGATAGTGTTGGAAAACCACAAAATATACCCACTCCCGTCTTATTCTTCTTCTTCATGCATCACCGTTTTCAAGTGGTCCTGCCAGCTTTGCCTTTGCCTCCAATTATTGAATGCCTAATAATTGTATCTTTTTAATTTCCAACATCTTTTTAATGCAGAGCACTGTTATTTATCATTACTCACAGTGTATCTCTATATATGTTAGTAAAACAAAATATTAGATGTCATACTACTCTATTAATATGTTGAAAAATGATAGATTTTTATCTTTTATGTGTGAATCTTGTGTTTTAAATTATTAATTTGATGAGATTTGTTAGTTATTAGACTTTAATTATAATTAATTATAAAGTTTAAGATTCAGAATGCATTATGCAAAAAATTAAATAATTTGAAATGCAGCAGTGAAATTTACTCTCTTTTTTCTTTTAATACTCTCAATATCCTGATTGTTAAATCGAAAAGGCTATTCCCTAATAGCGACTTAAATAAAGTAAAAGACCAAGCATAATTTTGTCCGCACTTACCAAGTCACAGTGCATTAAAGATTGTAACATGAGTTGTTTTTTGTACCTTCTTTTATTGGGCAAAAAAGAATGCTATAGTTTATAATGAATTAATGTATCTAATCTTCAGCACATTCCAAGCACAAGTACACATAACTAGGGACCACCTCCGCTGCCAAATTGTTCTTCTTCTTAAACAATTGAATTATAAGTTTTCTTTTTCTTTTTCTTTTTTTTTTTTTTGCCCCTAAATGCCCCACAATAATGCAATAAGATCGAATATTTCCAGAGCTTTTGGTTGATCTTGCTTCTCAAATTGCATGTAGTTATATAACAACTAATTAATCTATCAAAAAGTGACCTTTTTTTCAAGTGTTCTCCAAAATGGCATGCACTTAGACAAGAACAAAAATTAACCACAAACATTTCAATCCTATGGGATTAATAAATCCTTTTACTTCGGATGAATGTTATTGGGAGTGAACTAATGAAATTAAGGAAAGTGTTGATTCTTTCTTAGAGGAATTTATTTATTTATTAATAAATCCAATTTGATTCTTCTTTAAAATCAACAATAGAAGTAAAAAAGGCGAAATGGTCAATAAGAAAGTTTTTGGGGGTAAAATTAGAAATATGAATAATTTGGCATTGGCATAAGAGTGCGTTTATTGACACTATTTTTCTACTTTTCACACACGTTTTTAATTTACCTTCATTCTATTTGTTATACCCATCTTAAAATTTCAAAAAAAAAAAAAAAAATTCCATACAAAATCACCTACAATTCTACTTTTCTAAGACTAATTGTTTTTTTGTTTTGTTTTTGAAGATCAATTCCTTAATTGCTTAAGGATCGATTATGTTTCTCATCATACCCATATCCAAACGTCTTCTCTTTGTACTGGGGAAAGAATCAAAAGAGAAGAGTTTTGCAATTTACATAATAAAGCTATGTATTTCTGTTTATTTTTTATTTTTTTTTATTTTTATTTTTGTATGAAGGTAGAAGACAACTCAAACGTGGAACATGAGGTTTAATTTGGAGGATTGTAATTTCTCACAGTTGTCTGCCTGCAACTACTGGTATATCCGAAGTCCTTCAAAACTCAGATAAACTTTCAGGATATTTTATTTTTCAAAGACAAAAATGTAAACTATCCATGAATCAGCAGCGCACACCAAAGTCACGTCTCTAATTCCGTCTAAATTTTTAACATATTTGGACGGAAGAGAGAAACATGTCGCATTTTAATAGATTACAATTTCTACGGGGCACATTGACAGTTGTATCAAAGTTCAGCAAATTTATCCATTTTTCATATAATGAGTACTTTTTTATGGTCTTTAAAAATAATTTATTAATAAGTAATTTAATAATATTAAAGAGAGGTCAGTTAAAAGTAAAACAAATAGACGTGATGCCATTGGAACCAAATTTTTCAAAAGGAAGACAAAATAAGTGGGTCCTACAGTAATAGTGACGATGGGCCCACGTCACAATCAGTTTGATCAAAGTAGCACTGACTCAGAGGAGAGACAAGTGGCTGTTTCTTCTGCACGCGCACACCGTAGTTCTCACCAAGTTGGCCAATACAGTTCAACCACGACTGCAAAAATCTGTCAGTTCGTAACGCTCCCGGCAATTCTGTCTGTCAAAGATCCCAAAGTAAAATACCCACCTGGGTAATTTCCTATGTGCACGTGACTTCTCTCTCTCTCTCTCTCTCTCTCTCTCTCTCTCCCTCTCTCTCTCTCTGCACGTGCTCTCTCTCTCTCTCTCTCTCTCTCTCTCTTTCCCTGTATTTTCATGGAAAAATAAAACACATACATATATATAAGATTTTGAGATTAAAATTGTCATTTAACTCAAAATTCAATGCCATTATATACGAGCAAACCAGGCAAATCTCCATTTATGGGCCCTTCTAACATAAATGCAAGCCTTACTAGCGTATATATATATATATGCTAAAATTGCATTCATTTATATAGACCTATTTTTCTATTTACTCTTTTAAACCAAAAAAAAAAAAAAAACAAAACAAAACAAAACTATAGAGTTATCTACCTAATTAATAGGTGAGTAGATGAACACACAAGGGAGAGGTCCATCTTTGGTGTTTTGGAATAGATGGATTTTGTTGGAAGTTGTTGATTCTTCCTACTTTTCATGTAAGAATTGGAATCATAAAACAAAATTGGGGTATCCAATATATGTTACAAATATTATGCTTCCTTTAAAGAAAAATGCCACTGAAAGATCCAATCCAATGGTTGGCTGATAGAAAGTTAAAAGAGTAGTTTTTACTTTTTCTGCTCTTCTTTCCCTTTTTCTTTTCCCCTCAAAAGTCACGTACACAAAAAAAAATAAATAAACAAATAAATACTAGTAATAACCTCTCTTTCTATGGAAATCTTGATGTAAATTAATTAGTCATTTTGTAATAATTCTCACCAAAAATTGATTGTCTATTGTAAATTTAGCTTGATAGCTTGCTTCCCAAGCCTTTTGATATTATGATTTTGTAGAATTTTCTAATTTGGTGAGAAAAGAAAAAAAGAATTTTTACCAAAGATTTTTGAATAATAACCTTTTATCTATTCTATGCGATTCTATATAAATGGTGCACTAAAAAAGTCCATCAAGTTCAGGTTCCCAAAGAATTATGAGCACTCGTAATAGCTTTCGCATCTGTCCCCACCTATAATTGCTTTTATGTTTATGTTTCATGTGACAAGAAATGTGAATCAATTGACCCCTAACCCCTTTTTTTTTTTTTTTTTGGCATTTGTCAATGGTGGAGTTTGTTCCTTCATAAAAGCTTTCCCAATTCAAAATGTTATTCACCCATCCCATTATTTCCTATCTTTTTTTTTCAAAAAAAAAAAAAAAGTTTGCTTTCCGAATTCAGAATGCTATTCATCCATTCCATTATTTCCTCTCTTTTTTCAAAAAAAAAAAAAAAAAAGTTTTGAACTTTATCATCAAAATTCGTTATAACCCCTAAAAAAGAAAACTTTATAACCAATTGCTTGTATTTATGGTGCATTGGCAAATAGGTTCCCAATAAGTAATTCATGAAAAAAGAAAAGCACATCAGACAAAAGGAAAGGCCAATAATATATGTTGTAGTTTAATTTGATAAAATATATACGTTATACGTATTCAATTATGCAATTATGCAAAGCGGAGTAGGTTCTGGATGGTCATTAGAATAATATACCACGAATCTTAGAGCACATATTAAAAAGAAAAAACAAAAATAAAAACAAATGACGCGTTTGAAATTCGTTTTAAAATGATTTTATTTTTTATATGAAAATAAAAATGAAAATATTTTCAATCTCAGACAGAAATTATTTTTAAAAATATGTTTGATAATTTTATCAAGAATTTATTTTTACTGTAAAAAACTCATTAATGTCTCTCTTTCTCTGTCTGCTCGAGAGAACAAAAAATAAAAATAAAAAATAAAAAACGACTAAATGTCATTTTTCACTTCTCTCTCATTTTATACTAAATTAAAAAATTATTTTTATTTTTATTTTTTATCTTTGTTACACCAAATGTCATTTTAAAATTTTTTTTTAAATATAAAAAATAAAAAACGAAATCAATTTTAATCACGATCAAAAACTTTTGTTGAAGAAAGTTAATTTTCACACAAAAAATATCAATAAAAAATCAAGTGATTGATTGGCAGATAATTAATTAACAAAGAAATATAAAGGTGTTTCTATTTTAATAATAAAAATATTAAATAAAACGAGGGAAAATGACAACTGAGTACTGACAACCAAACAAATACAATCAAACAAATTTATAAAATATCAGTATACCACTGAAAAAATAAAAAATAAATAAAAATCAAGGGAAAACTGTTAGAAAATAATTAATATATTGGAGGTTCCCCTGAAACCACAACAGGCGTTAGAGAAGAAGAAGATCAGAAGAGAGAGAAAGTGCCTCTCTCTCTCTCTCTCCTCTTTGTCTCTCTCCCTCCTTTCTCTCTCTCTCTCTCTTCTGTGAGGAAGATACAGAGTGAAGATAGTTCTTTCTACAAAACAGTAAGAAATCTCTCTCTCTCTCTCTCTCTTCTGTAAAAGGAATCCATGCATTGCTTCTTCATCACTCTTTCTTAACGCTTAAAATCTCTTTCTAATGTCACCTCCACTTGCAAACCAGAAAGAGTCAAAGTCCTCTTCTATGGCGGCATTTTCGCTCTGATATTTTCTCGAGAATCTGACAAGTAGCGAGTTTTAGAAAAAGAGAATCAAAAATGGAGAATTTATCAGCAACAAGAGCCATAAAGAAACCTTCCATCAGTATTTCTCTCTTCGCCACTCTCTCGGAGTCCTTCTCCTTCGATACGAAGCCCTCGCCATCATCCGTAGCCAAGTCGTCTCCGAGAAACTTCCGAGGCGACGGCGGTGGCGTCGTCGGCCTCGGCATCGTCGCCGCCATGACCGGTTCCTCCTCTTCCCACGAAGCTTTCGCCTCTGCTAACCCGTATATCGCGGTTTCGCCCAAATCGAGCCCGATCCCCATCGTTTCGTCGGCGAAAGCCGCCGCGAATTTCAGAGGTGGCCGGAATTACGGGGATTTGGACCCCGACGATGAAGAGGAGGTCGTCGACGAGTCGTCGGAGAGCTACACTTGCGTGATTTCGCACCACGGCAACAATTTGGTCACGAAACGCGTGTATTTTGGCGACAATAAGGTCGATAATGGCGGTTGTGATGATGCTTGTGTGGTGACTTGCTCTCGAGGAGTGTTCTCCGCTTCGCCGACCAATATCGGAGAACTGGAGACGGAGTTTTGGACCTCAGACTTCTTGAATTCTTGCTTTCTTTGCAAGAAACAGCTTCACGGACTAGACATTTTCATGTACAGGTACAACTCAAATATCAGATTTCTTTTTTGAATTGTTTTAGTTTCTTAATTAATTCGTTCTAACATAACTGAATTAGTTTGGTCCTATTCTACAAGAGTTGTTTTCAATGAGAATCTTATGTTAAAACTTGTGTTGTTGTTTTACTAATAATTGTTTCTGAAATTTTGAATTTTTGGTTCTATATAGTAGTGTTTCATAAGAATATTGGTCGGTGCTGACTTGAATGATTAGTATTTCATGAAAATATTGGTTGGTACTGATTTTCTTGTGAAAATTGTGTATTACTATTAGTGGTTTCTAAAACGTATGAAATTTTGAATTTTGATCTCTCTCTTTTTTGTCTCCTACTTTTGCAATTTGCATGTGGTTTTCTTGATTCATTTCATTGATGGGTGTCCATTTTCATTTATTTATTGATTTTCTAGAAATGGAGGTGAGTCCCGATTTTCTATAGAAATTTGTTTAGTGCTAATATTGTTCCTGAAATTTTGAATTTTGATAATGTTTTTTTTTTTCCTACTTTTGCAAATTTGCTTGATGGTTTATGAATTCTGCTGCCTTGGGCTCTTTTTGTTCTGGGGAGTACTTTTGCATTAACCGGAGCATGGATCTTCAGTCTTAAGTGTTGTGAATCTGTGTTGTTCTAGAAATAGAAATCAGGCTGATCATAATTTGGTGGTGATTCATATTCATTGATTTTGCCTCTGCCTTTGATAGTTCATTTGAGGGTTCTTGTAGGTCTTTTCTCAACACAAAAGTCTTCAACTTTGCGTTAGACTCTGCAGTACTGTCTTGCTAATTATCATTAGGGAAAGCCTTCACTCTTCACTCATTTTTATGATTATTATTATTATTATTGCATTACAATTACCAAATACCAGGTGCTGAGCTGAGGTATAAAAGGTTACATTAGTTTGAATATGCTTAAGGAGTCATATGCCACGCCATGCGTGCTTTATAAAATGCATTGGTTCTTTTGTAAAGTTGCAACACGCAAGCTCAGAATCAGAGCAGTTTCCTTAATCATTAGTTTGACTATGGATTAATTTTTGTCGCGCTTTCAAAGTCATGTTTTGAATTCAATCCCATCGTTCCGCTCATAAGCATTACATATTCTTTAAATTCCTTCTTCTGTAGTGTACGCTTACCATTTGGTGAGTGAGTCTCATTCATAGTCTACTGTCACGTCATCAAGCATCTAGAACTACTATTTTTTCGGTTGGAAATTTCGATATCTTCTCATGTTCTCTAGCATTGTGTCCGAAAAGTGGAAAGTCAAATTGCAATAAACTTTGACGGAGAATTCTTTGGTGGTTATTAAAGAATACCTACTTTTTTCTAACTGTCAAGTCTTCATCAAATTTTATTAAACTGATCGTGCTTTTTGTAGTCTTGATATAATTTGGTGTAATCTAACGATTAAAAACCCTTTCTTTCTTTTTACCTTGCACGGAAATTTATTTGGTGAATGTGTAGATAATTTCTAGCCAAGATTTTCTCAGAATTTCTTCTTTCTTCAATATGCAGCATTTGATGTTGAGTTCTTTTCTTGTGATGCTTCATTATATTATACCTCAAACTTGTATTAACTTTGAACAAAGACATCTTAGCAAATTAAATTCGGTATCTTATCTAATATTCAAAACATAGTTGGCATCTTTTCACTAATAAAAAAAAAGGTTGGCCCTTGTTTGCAGAGGAGAAAAGGCATTTTGCAGTTGTGATTGCCGTGACAGACACATCAGAAGTGAAGATTATAAAGAGAAGTGCAGGTCTGAAGCAATGAAACCTCTTGATTATCCTGCGTCTCCTTGCTCTAGTCCACAAGTCTTTTTAGCAGGGGTTGCCGCAGCTTAACTATCTTAAAAAAAGGAAAAAAAAAATACTTAAAAAAATAGCAGCAATAAATAAAAAGGATGCAAAAGGTATCCAAATAACCTGTTTGTTACACCGGCATATAGATTTATAAAAGTGGCATATAAAACTGAGAGAAGAGTATTCGAGTACGATGAGTCTCTATTCTAAGATTCTTATGAGAAATTTAAATGAGAAGATTATGAACTTCCGTGAACCAAATCAGGGAGAGATACATATATATAGCGATCCCCAACGGAATTTAATGGTCATAAATTTTATAATGACTATGTCAATGTGCAATTTATGCTACTTTGATGCAAGAATTTTTAAGCTTTTTTGTGCTTGTCATTGGTCTTATTTTAAACATGATTTCCCTATAAATGAAAAGTTGGAGACTCTTGAGTCTTGACCTCTGCAGTTTTTTAACGTGGCCACGTGGGTGCTTGCACTGTTGACTTGTAAAAGCTGGTTCAATAAATGATTAGGGGCCGTTTGGATAGCTTATGTTTGTGCTTGTGCTTTGAAGTAGTAGAAGAAGATAAGCATAGATTGAGGTTCTTTTTTATTAGTGTTTGGATAGTGTTTGAAAAAATAATTTTATATTTAAAAAGAGCTTTTGAACATATTTGGGTAAAAATGTCAAAAGTACTTATTGTTATAAAAAGTAATGTAATAAAAGGATATAGATGAGATATTTAATTTATTGTTTACAAATAAAATGTTAAAAGCTTTTCATAAGCACTAAAGAGATGGTTTATTCTAAAATTGCTTAAAAAAGACAAACACTTTAGGTTGTCCATCCAAACATGTTTAAAAACGGCTTTTAGACTAAATAAGGTAAAAACAGTTTTTTTAAAACCAATCTAAACGGGTCCTAATTAGAGAAATTAATTGAAACAATAAAAAAAATATTTCAACCAGTAAAATGAACTAATGAGAATAAACTTTTTGACATATCATATAAATTAATATAGAAGTATTAGAATTGATAAGGGTTAGAATTTTAAAATTTTCTATTTTGCGTCTGGAATTTTTAAAACTTTTATTTCATCTCTTGAATTTTGTTTAGTCTCACTTAATCCTTTTTGTTAGAATTTTTGTTACTTTTGTTAAAATCAGATAGAAAAAGAATGGATCGAGTATAACTACATGGTCTTTTTCTATTTGTTTTTAATAAAAATTCTATCAGAAAGATCATGCAATCGCATTACCTATTTTTTGTCCGTTTTAAATAAAAATTCTAATATAAAAGAGCTAAGTGGAATTAATTTAAAATTCAAGGGGTTAAAATGAGAGTTTTTACAATTTAAGAACAAATTAGAAACGGTCTCAAAATTAAGAAGACACCAGTAAACTTAACCTAAATTATTTTTAATGAAACGTGATGAATTTAATTATTTTTAACCTGAACGTGATGATTCCCGAATATACAAATAGCAATTTTTTTATACTTGCATAACACTATGATTCCAAAAGATTCTTGAATAGCAACATTAAAAGATTAATCATGAACACGTCCACCCTAATAGAAGGGGAGCCACTCACACTATCATAAAAAATTGCAAACAAAATTCTTAGAAGAAGAGTTGATAGTCGTGGTTGCATTAAAAATAAAAAATAAAAATTAACTGTGAAAGTAAATTACACTGATAAAATGCTTAGAAGGAGCTAAACTAATTCTTTTCGCGCCGGCTTCAGGGTAATCATCTCCGTGATCTACGCGGCAGTAGTCGCTAGTTCTTTCTCCAGACAATCTTCTGCCTTCTGGGGCTGTGTTCACCCAAATCAGTTGGCCAAATAATTAGTCAAAATACTAATTACCATCGTTGCGTGTAAGACATATCAAAATGGTCACACAGAATGACAAGCTTCTTTGAAGAATCAGAGATGCATTTCACAAATCGATCTGTGTTTTTTGCCCTACCTCCATACAAAGGATAAGTTTGTGGTACTCCATAGTTGTAGCAACTCCTGTCAGAAAAAAAAAAAAAAAAAAAAAAAAAAAAAAAAAAAAAAAAAAAAAAAAAAAAAAAAAAAAAAAAAAAAAAACAAACTTCTGGGATTTGAACTCCAATCCTACCAGGAGCCCTCTTCATGCGTTCAATAGCCTTTTCCCTGGTTGGTGCCCACACAATAAGCTGGACAGAGTAAATCAGAGGAACCAGGAATCAACATAAATGCTTATGTGCATCTTCACAGCTAATAATTTGAGCAATCTTTCACAGAGACAAACACATACAACAAGGAGGGAAAGTTTGACAGACCATTCCGAGGAGAAAATCATAGCTTGGAGGAACGACATAATCGGGATAAACATGGCTATCCATTCTAACAAATGGGCCTCCGGGTGGCAAGTTTGCTGTTATTCTACCAGAAAAATGAAAATTCCTTGTAAGAAATGATTGAATGCATCCGTAGACCACGCAATCTTGCAACTTGCGGCATTGATGCAGGACAGAAGAGTAAATTTCATTAGTTAAAGTTTCACATGCAATAGCAGGTCAGGTTAATAATTAGTAATTCCAAAAGGTTTGATTCCTCCTGTAATGCTTTTTCTTATACACAGCAATTAGCTTCTTGTAAGTCCAGTCCCTGCTGCTCGAAAACTCCAAAAAGGCCTCCGAACTCGAGTGGAAATCCCCTTTACCCAAAACTTCAAACACCAAAGGATCAGTCAGTACTACAGGAGAGCCATCCAAGTTCATTATCTTTAGAGCAAAGTCCAAGTTCCTCCCAAGCCTTTTATCCAAGTAGGCATCCACAACACAGCCATAAGTCACCAAATCTGGAACAACCAACTCATGTCTCATGTGTTCAAGGCTAAGATGAAGGTCCCACATCAAGGACATCCTTGAAAACGCCATGGCTCGGACATTGAACGTGGTGAGGTCAGGACGAAACCCTGATCCCACCATCCTCAAGAACTCTCTCTGAAGGCTCTTCATTTTGAAGTTGGCCGCGTAGGACAGTAGAAGCACGTTCCACAAGAGGTTTCCAACGTCCTTTCGCCCTAGCCCCACCTTTCTCGTGAACTCTCCCAACCTATGAAGCTTCTTCTGCTTTAAGTAGGCAAGAGATACGGCTCTAATTCCTTCCTTGTCTAACAAATACTCTGACCTCTTTAGTCTATCACAAGCAGCCTCCATCTCGGTCAATGAACCGTGAAGGCTATAGTATCTAACAAAGGCGTTGGCAGTTCTAGCATCAACAGACAAGCCCTTGGAAACCATGTCCCGAACCACGCTCTCCATCAGCTCAAGTTGGCCGCCATTGCCAAAGCAAGAAATGGCAAGAGAGTAAGCTTGGGGTAAGATGTCCGCACCCCTAAAGCCGAAGATCATAAAAAAATTTTATCAGGCATTGTGTCAAAGTTCTACATATTCTATAAAACTAAAGTTACTAATTTGTCCCAACGTTTCTGTTTAGTTTCATGAAACGAAACTGTTTTGCAGTATGAGTATCAATTTCCTTGTGAAACTATAAATCCTCTAAGGATAATTCCACAGACAAATCGAAGAATTGGGAAATAATACGGTATCATTTCTAACGTAAAAGTCTTGTTATTTTGGTGAAATATTTCATCCTTGCCTGGAGCTAAGCTGAGCGAGAATTTCAGATACTTGATTGAAATGTCCTCTTTGGGACAAAACGTCGAAAAGCTTGGCCACAGTTTCAATGGTGGGCAGAGAAGAGCTATTAACCAACTGGTGGTCCCACAAGGCCTGCGCTTGAGGAAACAGCCCATTTCCCGCGAAAAACAGCATCAGGGAATACAACGAAGTTGAATCCAAAAAACCCACCTCAGATTTTGAGTTGAGTTGGAGCAAAACCTCCTCGGACAAGCCAATTATGTCCGGTTTGCTCAAGTTTCTCAGTAATAATGGAGGAGGAGCTTTCCCATCAAAGGTCAAGACTCCTTTTTGTTTCCATTTCCGGATTATCTGAACAAGATTACAATCCAAAATGAATAAATTAGAGCTCCAAAAACATGAAAAATGAACAGAACAAGCATCAGAAACAAATAACCAAAACTCCAAAAAAGCAAGCCTTTTAATCTAATCAATCCAAAAGCTAAGCTAACATTGTAGAGAGAGAGAGAGAGAGAGAGAGAGAGAGAGAGAGAGAGAGAGAGAGAGACCTGGCGTGGTAAAGCAGGTCGATTTGGTTGGTTGGAGTTGGAGAGTAGAGAAGAGATATTATTGGGTTTGGGGAGAAGAAAAAGGAGCTGATCTTTCATTTCAAGTTCGATGAAAGCCAATTAATCGTAAATAGCCTCCAATCACTACCCTTGAAATTGAATTTAACCCAAAATATTATATTATTATATTCAGCTGAGCTGCCCCAAATCCATCACTGAACTCGCTTCTCTTCTCTTCCGTGTAAACGACAGACCTTGTAAATGGCGGGAAGCTCCAAAGCTCACTAGGAGGGCTTGTAACAAGCAGCAACAATTAAAGGACGAGGCTTTACAGACAGATGAATGAATGAAGAAAAAGCTTCAAAAATTATCGAAATAAACTGTTACACCGGCATGATTAGCAAAAAAACAAAAACAAAAAAAACAAAACAAAAAACAAAAATTGTTATACCGGCATATAGATAACAGACTAGTTGAATTCCAGGTGCTTTTGCATGTAGAAAGTAATATGTGTTTTAAGTTATAATTAATTAAGGATTAATTTAAAAATTCTTTCTGAATTATGAGCTTTGTAACACTTTGTTTTCTAAATTTCAAAACGTAAACATTCGTTCCTCCTAAATTTTGTTATGTTAACAATTTTACATATTATGTTATAATAAATGATGAAATTTGCTATGTGTCACGTAAATACTCATCTGATGAAGGTATTATCGTAAAATACCTTTCAAAAACCCCATACCCATCCTTCACCTCCACTCCATGTTAACAATTTTATTTATTATGTTATAATAAATGACGAAATTCACTACGTGTCACGTAAATACTCATCTGATGAAGGTATTATCGTAAAATACCTTTCAAAAACCCCAGACCCATCCTTCACCTCTACTCCATGTAGCACATTTGATTTCTCCTACCATAGGAGCAGTGACGAATACACCAACCATCATAAGAAAATAAAAACAAAGATACACAAGCAGCCTTGGCTACATCTCCAACAAGTGCAATATCTCAAGCTGAAGTCCTAAAAAATTATCATATAAGAACAAATACTTTAACACACAAAGAAAATAAAAGGCAACTAAAAAAACCCCATAGCAGGTAACGACCCAACGAAAAAAAAGGAATAAGAAAGGGAAAAAAAAAAAGGAACAGAACAGGTAAAGAAAGAAAACCCATCACCTATGAATGTGCATTAACATCTGGGCTTGATTAGAGGGTGTAACGGAGTCCAAACATTGTCTACAAAGAAATTCAAAGGAAAAAACACAGGCATAACCAAATTAAAGCAAGAATTTCAATGTAAAAAGAATCAACATCCCACAATAAAGAACAAAAGAAAGTAAGAGATCGAAACCAGAAAGAGTAAAAACCCTCCACGACTGAGTATGGGAATAGGCGTGCCGAAGAAACCAAAAGAGAATGAGAGGGCAAGGGAATGAAGATGAATGAGGAACTCGCCGTGGATGAATGAGATGAGGAAAAAAAAGAACTGGTTTTTAGGAATGAATATGGTGAATTATGTCGATATAGGTAACATCGAAGACCAGTGATTCTGAACGAAGATGGGTATAAGCGTCATTGCACTTTCAAATCTCACTAAATAATGGACACGTGACAAATTCCGTCACTCAGTGTAACGGAAGGGGCAAAATTGTTAACGAAACAAAGTTCGGAGGGAGTGGATGTTACGTTTTGAAATTCGGGGAGTAAAGTGCTACAAAGGTCATAATTCATGGGGAATTTTGTTATTATTAAAAACATTATTAAAAACATTTAGAGTAAGAAGCCAAGATAATGTAATGACTGAAAAAATCCTAGACTTTAAATAATATAATTTATTTATTTAAGCTAAGGATTTTCCTAGAAAATATTATGTTATATTGTGAATGAAGGATTTATGAAATTAATATTTGTATTCCTAAATTTTGTAGTAGATTTCATGTTAAGTTCATGTTTTTGATCGAGTAAATTCGATCGATAAATTCTCGCCGTACTTTAAGGCAGAATAATTTTCAGTACAAGTATAGTTTGAGAATCTTAATTTCAAGAATCTCCAAGCATAGCACGATGTTAGCAGCGTATAAAAAAAACACACTGACATTTTAAAAGAAGAGAAAATCCTTAATTGCCAGACAGCTAGGTTAAAGTCACAAGATAAATACCCATAGTAGAAGGGTACAATGTGAGCTCGGGAGTTGACATCGTCAGAAACAACGTCATTCCCGGGATTTAATGCAGAAAAGTTAAATTTAGAATTTGTTCAGTCTAGAAATAATTTCAAGACTTGAAACAGTTCAAGATATTACACGAGTAAGAATTTAATGTGATCCCAAAGCAGTCGAGGATTTAACAGTTGAACTGTAAATAAGCAGTAGAAAAGGAACTGTCAGTAATGGAAACAAATTCTTGTCGGTTAAGTTACTTCCTTATAGTCAGTATATTTTTTTATCAGTTTCAAAGGGAAACTTAAGAAAGTGGACAAGAGTACAATGGGGTGGGTGAGATTTTTCTCTCTCTCTTTCTCTACTTGGCCGGCCATGCATAGAAAAATAGAGCCAAAAATTTGGCTAGCGGAGTGTGCTAGAAGATTTTATGTTAAGGTGATGTGATGGTAGTGGTTGAAGGGGAATTAATGGCAAAGTTACTTCTTCCTTTCTCCTTCCAAATCGGGCCATGATTTAGGGGATTGAACCAAAAATTTGGTTGATTGAAGGAGTTGATGTAATGTTAAAAAAATGATTTCCATGTTGTCTATAAAAGGAATCAACATAGGATAAGCTTCATTTTTTTTCTCCTAACTTTTTCCCCACTCAAAAATCCGGCCATACCACCCATTTCCTCTCAAATATTTTCTTCCACTCTCCCAATCTTGAGCCACTAGCAAACCATAGAAGAAGAAGAAAGAGATCAAAGGGTCTAGGAGGAGACTAGTCAAGCATTCCTCCAAGGGTAAGGAAACTCTAAACTCTATCTTTTTATGTTCTAGTAAAGTTTGAGATGTAGAACTATTCTTCTCAAATTTCCTTATACTCTTATAGTTTCAAGCCATTAACAATCTTAGAGGAGTTCAAAGGTTTTTCAAGAGAAAGAAGGAATTCTTCAAGGGTAAGTTCTTAAACTCTCCTCCATTAATTTCTAGCCAACTTTAAGCTTGGATTTATGGATTTAAATTTGTGGTTCTTGAGGAGATAAGATTGTAATAAGGGTGTGTAAGTTTTATGTTAGTTTTGTGAGTTATGAGGTTAGTTTAATATGGTATGATTATGCTTGATTTAAGTTTGCTTATTTCCGGGTAGAGAAAAATTTTCCGGTTACTTTGAACGCGAAAATAAGAACCCTAGAGCGAGATTGTTTAATGTTTCAAAGTTTGAATTTATAGCCCTCGATGTTTTGAACATTTTCTATGACTATGACAAAACCCAATTTTAACTCTAAAAGTAAGTTTGAAGCCAGTTTGCAAAAATGGATGGGCTGTCAAACACAGTTTCAGAAATAGAAAAAAGGGCGATTGCTACAGCAATCCTATAGCATTTTAAAAGAGATTGCTACAGCAATCCTAAAGCCTTTTCAAAAAGATTGCTACAGCAATATTAGAAGATTGCTACAGCAGTCCTATAGCATTTTTAAAAGGATTGCTACAGCCTTATTAAAGGATTGCTACAGCAAAAGAAAAAAAAATAGCAGCCACTGTTTTCAGTTAAACGAGGCCTTTAGAGGCTGAATTTTAACTTTCTTTAAAAATGATAATTTTAGATCTCGATGAGTCGAAGAATTATCGTGAAGAACAGATTTTCAAAATCTGACTCTAAGATGCAGTGAAACGTAGATTTCAGAAACTGCACAGTTTTAACAAAACGAAACTAAAACAGTGACGTTTTTAATAAAAGATTATCAAAGAACCTGAGATGTGATTTCAGTAAAATAATATGGTTTTAGACCTCGCTTTAATGAGGAATAGCCGTGAAGAAAGATTTCAAAAAAAATGGGTTTCTACAACATAGTTTCACGGTGGTTTACAAGTCAACTGTAAAACGACTTGGGGAATAGTTTTCAAAAGTCGATATTCGAAAAGAGATTTTACAACGGGATTTTAGTGCTTGTAACTAAATGAGTGAGTTATCATTTTATAAAAATCGAATGATAGTTCTTTTAAAAGCTTAATAGTTTTCGAGTAAAACATCATGACGGGCACTTACAAGCCCAACACGATAGGTCCTTAGAATTTTGAGGATTTGATGTGGGTCCAACGCCCGCATTAATTTAAGAGACTCCGTTAGAGTTTAAATTTTAACGGCCTAAGAGCTAGAATGCCGTGAATAAGTTTCTAGGCTAAATTGGGCCTTAATAATATAATGAGTCCAATGAGAAAAAATTATGGAGAACAAGTTACTAGATTGGGTAAATGATTTTCAACCTAGACATTAGTATGCTAAGGGCAATTAAGGAAAATAAGATTTTGAGGATTTAATAAATTGATCCTTATAGTAAATTATCCTTCAGTAAAGGAAAGGAATACATGCCTTAAGTAAAGGGCTGGATTTCCTTCATAGGCTACTAAAATAAAATAGCAAATGACAGATAATCTCACACTCTCAATGGGTGTTCATTTTCAGAAGTAAGCAAGTAAGAGAATAGGCTCTTTGGCAAAAAGTGGATTCCAGCTCTGTAAATCAGGTAAGTAGGAATCTCGCCTACAGTATGAATAGATTTTAAAGAAAAA